GTGTGTGTGTGTGTGTGTTTGAAACGTTTTGTTTTTGTTTTCCCTGCTACATTTTATAAGAGGTCCCACCTTTTTTGAAATTTGGGTTGTACTTCCTCAAAACATCTTCAATGAGTCTGTATTTTGGTGAACTTACAAACGATTTATGAATAAAATAGAACAATTTAAGCAGTGGTTAAAAGACAACAGAAGAAACATGAGATTAATCGCACATCACTTTGTGACCAGTATAACTGGTTGTGTGATGAATGATGGAATTAGATGACATGGTAACCCTTGATCATGAATATCTTTGTCAATTTTGTAACAGTAACAGTATAACAATGTGGTCGGGTAAATTATATATGCAAATATTAGGCTCTCTAAGTGGGATACCTATATCTGGTCTGCAGATGGAAAGGTAACGATCAATGGCCACCACGGTCAGCAGGCCAATACTAGCCATGCCAAAGAATATGTTGAGAGCTGCATAGATCTGGAGACACAGAAACAAAGAAAAAAGCAGGTACTTAAATTCCTTCTTAACAAGAAGCCTATGATCATGGCCCTGTGCTTGAGGCAAGAATTGTTAGCATCCAAAAGATTAAAGCAAGAACCGCGGTGCTAACATGCTGTGGTACAATGGCTTTTGGAATTCTGTTACTATGATTTAACAGAAACTTGTAGAAACTTGGAAAAGTTATAAAATTCAGATTTTTACACTCTGACCAAATGTCCTTTCTCAGTCCTGGTCTAGTTATTTGTGTTTGTTCAACATAGCAGTGAGGTATGTTGTCTGCAGTGGTGTATTACAGCCATGTCGGGGAAAGTTATTGTCTTGGTTCAAAGAAAAAGCCACACAAATGCAGATGATGGCTGTTAGTTTCCTCGCTTCTGTTAATACGTTCATAAAAAGGATTACATGGCTCAACAATATTATGCCATGACACTGCTGTGAAAAAAATCTGCTAAAAGACTGTGAATCAGCCTGGCCACAGATTTTGTAATAAGTAATTTAAGTGTCAAGGTCCCGGGTCTTTTCATCAGTGTTTTGAGTTGGATTATCAACTTGTTTATTTCTTTGAAATTTCCTATTAGCATTATTCTTGCCTTGTTGTTAGTTTCCCTTGGTGCTCACTCCTCCTCTCTCATTCTCTCCCTCGTTTTCTGTATCAAGTCAGCCTTGTCTCCATGTTCACTTGCCTGTTTCTCCAGTCATGTCGCTCCCTGTGTCTCTCTGTGTCTCTTGCTCTTGGCCTTTCTTAGTTTAAGTCCAGTTGTGTTTCCCAGGTGTACCACTAACCCAGCAAAATCTAAGACTGTTTGTTTTGCTTCAGTCAGCCAGCATAAAAGATGTGTATCTTGTAGTTGACCCAGTAAACAAAGTAAAACAAAACAGAATTTTTGGGTCAACCATAACTTCATGTGATGTTACTGCGCTGGTGGATAATGAAGTCTCATCTACTGTTAATCAAACTATACATGTTTTTAAACCAAACCCTGAACCAGTACAATGTGTATCTGAGTCTGCTCATGATTTGCCTTGTTTTGAACCTGTTTGCAAAGTGGCGGGTAGCAACTCTAGAGTTAGTGTCACTTCTGAGGACCCTGCAGGGGACCTCTTTGAAGACTGTTTGCTGTGAACCTGTGCAGAACTGGTTCTGTTGCGCCCTCTGGGGCTCCCTCTAAAGACTGTGGAACCTCGTCTTTGCTTGTTTCTAAGACTGTTCTTCCACCTGTGACCTCGCGTAAGCCATATGCTCTGCCTGTCATGCTCCCAGTGTGGCTTGGACCCAGCTTTTCCCTGCACCCATCTCAGTTCCCTGAGGTAGATAGGTAGAGCTCGACCGGTCCCTGTCCCTGCTCCCAAGGCGGTTCTGCCTTCAGCCTTCATCTGCACCCATTCATGCACCTGGGTGTTAGTGACTGAGGCCCAGCCGATCCATGTTCTGGTTTCCAGGTGGTGACAGCTGGTGTCCAGCCATCACCTGCACCAGTCCTGGCTCCCAGGGTGATGCCAGCAAAGACCAGATGTATTATTGTAGGGTCTACCTTATAATATAAAGCACCTTGAAGTGACTGTTGTTGTGATTTGAATAAATAAAATTGAATTGAATTGAATAGACCACCTCTGCACCTGTAATAGTTCCTCAGGTGAGAGGAGCTGGCTTCTGGCAGGTTCCTGCGCCCATCCCTGTTCCTAGGGTGAGGGCAGCCAGGATCTGTTTTCTGTATTAAGCCAGGCAAATAAACATGGAGTCAAGACTATCTGTTTCCCCTGTCTTTCTCTCTGTGTCGCTCACTCTCACTCTATCTTTAATTAGTCAGTCTGAGTCTTGGTGTGCATTTCTCGTACTTCCTGTTTTATTTTGACAGCCTCTCGTGTGGATCGTGTTCGGTTTTGCTTCCCAGGTCTCGTCAGTGAGATTATGTCCAGCTGTGTTCCCCAGTTGTTTCCTCTCTGCCCCAATTCCCTCTTATGTATATATTGTCTGTATCTCCCTCTGTCCGTTGTCATGATTAGGGATGGGTATCGTTTAGGTTTTATCCAATACCAGTACCAAACCAGTACTTTTGA